CCATTAGTGGCATTTCAACTCGGCAACCGCGAAACGCAAGTTGTTTTCAGCCTGTTAGTTAAGTAAGCGTGTGTGACCAGCAGTAGCTTCATCGTTCCGCTTTGGCGATATGAACATCATGGTGACTGGTGGTTCGGAAAGTCGTTCAATGACGGACGTAAGGAGTTCTCCGCCAGAGACCCATTACACCTAATCCTCGTAGCGGAGTTTGTTTTCCAAAAAACTAGAACATCGGGTGATCGAAACAAGCAGACTAAGATATAGAAGAAAACAGTTATCTGCGGTGAGGAATTTTCATTGCTTTTCACAACGAGACGGTTGTCAACTAGCTAATTAAGGTGCCGTTCTGTATGGTCCTTTTTAAAGTACAGTGGATTCAGTCGGTCCCGAATTTTCGGGGCCAAGAGGGAGTAGCCGAACTAGAAAACTCAGACTGCTTTCCACATACCAGTTATTTCTAAGGTCTTCCCCTCAGGATTGACTAAACTTCTGTGCGGTGATACTGGGGCGATACTAAGGTAACCTTATCCGCATGCGTCTCGGACAGTTTAGAGGACCTGAACAAATACTATGCATAATTTAGGTAACATTTCAAATTTTATACCAAGTGAACGGAGTCGAGTTTGAATACTGAGTAAGGTGAATGTGTATGAAGCTGTGTAGGTGACCCGTCAAGTCATTACAAACCAAATTAGGGACGGCTTCTCTATCGTACGGTCAAGACAGTACGGTGCAACAATTTAAAGATTGTTGACGGTCATGATCCTCGATTCGATCAAGTATGGTGGCTCTGTTCAGCCACTTTCGCTGCGATTGAGTCCACGTTGGGCATCCGGCTAAATGTTGAAGCTCTAGCATTTCTTCAGACATAGATGCATAGACCACATGGACAACATACTCCATCTTGCTTTTTGAGGCAAACCGCTCGGTGCTTGACCAGTTTCTGGAGAAACAACTGCCACAAACTTCATATGAAGTCTGAAAATGTGCAACTCACTCTTTAGCAACTCGAATCCCTTGTTGGATTTTGAAGACATGCATGGCCGAATACTTCAACCAGTTGATGATTTTGATTCTTCTGACACATGAAAATCCGATTAACTGGTTTCGGTTACAGGTGATACATGGGTGAAACGTGGTTCGGTGTCAACTCATTGCTTCAGAATTCACTCGCACCATCGTCCTCACAATAACAAATTGTGGAATGTTGCTCCCGCTTAAAAGATTTAGTATTACGTAGTTTTTGTACAAAAGCGAAATGGAGTACTGGGCCCAAACTGCAGCAGTCAAGCAACGCGAAAACAGTTGTAGAAAGTGCACACAGCTTTGCCCATAGCAGCGCTTAGTTTGAGCGAATTTGATCAGTATGTTAAAGTGCCATTTAAGTGTACCAAAAATCACCACGTATCTGTCGTTAAAAGTGAGGTTTTAATGTACAAGTATATGAAGACGGATGAGGCTTACAGTACTACCTACAGACGCAACTACTCATAAGATTGCTGAAAATGCTTCGACAGCAACCTAATGAGTAGTGTGTCACATCTATACAATGTACTACGATACAGGTACATCGTATCAACTTGGACATGTGCCAGTCTGTTGCAGCACATTCAAGTGAAGAACATCATAAACATGAGAGTCAGTCGGATCTCCTGTGAAAACCTAACTGGTATGCCAAATGAGCGCATTTCGTTTAGTGTCTTGTTCTAGTAGAATTTATATATTGGTATTTTCTGGAGATGTTGCGGTCGGTTGCTTTGCAAATGTTCGAGGTCAGCTTAGCTGGCCCTCCCAAGAGAGACCATTCCCCTGGGGGGTGAGTTCTGTGCCGGACTATGTGAAACCCTATGAAATAGGGCTTGAAAAGTCGTTTTCCTGTGTTTCCCCTCCTTGAGAGACTGGCCTTACCGAGCACCTATTCGTTCACCTATGCTACGAATTTGTTCTATCCAGACCAATTTCTGTCGCTGTTGGTGGATTCTCGTCTTAAACGGCAGTCAGCTTACGGACTGTTTTCCACGCTTCCAGTTTGATAGAAACGATAGTTATCCGAATTTCATCTTTTCTAAATCAAACCGCAGTAATTGATCGTAGAAGAATTCAGCCATAAAACCTTCATCACTACAACCAGCGTACGCTTTGTGTTGTTCACCGGCCAATCCGGTGCGTACAGATAAGCGTACACATATGGGAGCTGTCTACAAAGCAATCTGTCACTGGTAAGTCGATCAAGACCGAGTTTCCGTCAAGGCTACGGCACCTTTATTAGAATAAGGAACAATATTTCCAAAACGATTCCGCCTGACACATTCAACTTTCACAGCCTCGGTTCCGGCCACCACAGATGTTATCTCAGTCATTCTGAAGTTCACCAGCGGAGGGTTTCGCTGTTGAATTTGCCCAAAAACCCCATGCGTGAATCAGCAACCACACGCACGCACAATGCACACACACAACACATGTCGAGTCCTGACCCTGCATGCAGATTGCGCTCGTTGACCCCATACACATTGGACAGCATCAAAACACGTGCGATATGGGCCATAAATCACCATAACAGGCACTCTGAAGCGGCCGGAGGGGAAGTGAACAGTAGTCTTCCTCTTCCTTTTCCTCATCTGGACGATCTGGTCTACCGACCTACGCGAATACTGAGTAAAAGCCGCGTATAACAGATATCGTGATGATTCGCCACTGGGTACTGTAATCGCCATTTCTGTTGCAGTGTGCAGTCACATGAATTGCAATAGTATTTTACCTACTGTTTGCTGTCAGACCGATAGTGATGAAAAGCAGTGCACGAATTAAAGCATGTGAGACTCATGTGGTGCGGAAAACACCAGAATAGTGTTGGAATGAGAAAAAAGAAAATCAGCATTCCTGAAATCTGTATGTTGTGTCAACTAGGATAGTACTCGACAGTATATAACGATAACCAAGGACTCTCGTTCACTATTGGCTCACTGTAAGGGTAAAAATTCAGTTGGTCTTTGACTAGTGATTCAAAACAATCGTTCTTCCAAATGACGCAACGCTAGGTTCATGCTGTTTGGCTGCAACGATTCCAGCAGTAATATGCGGTAATCAAACTCAATGAAGAAGTGCACTTAAAGTGAAAGGGTTTTAGAAAGTGACTTTGTTTCTTTTCTCACGGTATTTTTGCGGTGAGTTTACAGGGTCTTATGGTGCATCGGGTGCATTGTTAGAGAGACCACTTCAAAGAGAACCCGCTCCCTGCGAAAGGTCTACGATGTTCTCTTCCACCGATCGCCCTTTAGTGGCCGAAAGTCATCCAGCCTTACCGTAGGCATCATTCTTTCGGCAAAACAGAGCATGACGGTTATTGAGGTGATTTTCCAGTCACTTCAGTTCCCGCTACCGAAACCCATTCCATCTTCGGGAGACCGTTTCTGGAACTATCTGCTGCACAGTTGCCTGTCTTCAGACATTGAAGCCGATCACGACAATGAGGAAGTTCACATCCTCCCCACCTATGACGAATGCATATACTCAAATACCTATTCAGCGCATCTTGGTTGTGTTCTTAGTAGGGCTGTCACTGAAAGCCCCGCATGTGCAGGTACATTTGCACCGGATTGGGTTGAATGGGGGTTGGGGGGGGGGAGAGTTTGATGAGGCGCGGTGAGGAGTGGTGAAGTGAGGTCAAGTTAAGAAAACACAGCAAGGGTGTCAGATAGTCCGATCGCAACTGCTTCGGCTGTTGATCAAAGTCGTAAGTAAGCGAACGCAGAAGCGACATGGGAAACCTAGTTTCCAGTGTACGTCAACGAGTAGATTCGACGACTTCAAACTCCTCTGTCTGCAACGGCTGCAACGGTTAGTTAGAAGTCAACCCCGGTTACGGGGTTGACTTTGCTGCACTCAGCGGCACCCGGCTGGCTAGTCAGGGGAATGTATACGTTCGCTGTGGTTGTACTTTCTCCCGGAGTGGAACAGCACGAGAAAGCCGATGTGAACATTGTGTCAGATTCGAAGTTGCAAATCACACCAAACAGATAATAATGGACAGGACAGAACTATATCACTCGAGAAAAATCGCTTCCAATTCCGGCTGTCGCCAGAAGGCCAAGAAACATAATCACTTAGCGAAACACATTCATTTGCAAACCAATTTGGTTTTGCGAGAGACTCACCTGGAACCCAGCTGAATTTCTCGTTTGTGGTGTTTCCAGGCAACTGAATGTGATGCACCAGGCCGCCTCATGTTTCAGTCGCTACGATATTCGAGAGATTCAGCTGGGTTCCTGGAGAGTCTCTCGCAAAAACAAATTTGTTTGCAAACGAGTGTTTCGCTAATTTCATGCAATTTGGTTTCAAGTAGAACATAAGGATGACGGAAACTAGGGGATCGCGTCTAACTGATAAGCTCCAAGAATGGCGAAACCGGTCGTGGGCTGTTGACGAATTTTCAGCAACCTTATGAGCAGTACATTAAGAATATACGGAATCAGTTAGTTCACTCGTGATCAAGATTTTCCTGTAATGGTAGAATTTTTAGTGATGTATTTATCGTTCACCGTTGAGAGTTTGTACCACTAGGAATTTCACAAGTTTGTAGGATTACTGGCAGAGAAAACTCGAATCCTTCGCATACAAGACCAACCAATAAATCGAAGAGTGCATTGATGAGCAGCGGTGCTTAGTGTTAGAAGTATGCATACCTTACGGATCTTAAGGCAATTTCAAACAATCTGTCAAACGTTCATGCGAACCATTTCTCGTTGCTTTAAAAAAACATCGGTGAGATGCACATTCACTTTATCGCTTCACTTCTAACATGGCCGAGCATGATGCTAAAAACAACAGTGTGCTGAGGCTTTCATACCTCCTGTGTCCAATCTCTGTGGGCGCCAACGTACGAGGTTTGAATGGCTGATTGCGGAATAAATCGTAAGCGTTAGACTACAGACCAATAAAAACGATCCAAGAAAAATCGGTATTGTACCAGAGAGCAGACAAACAAATTTGTGAGTACTTACACTCAATAATCTTCCAAATTCTTCCTGTGATTTTACTGATTCACATGTGCGACGGCTCTCGTTCTCCTCTTCACTGTTAGTGGCGAACATGTGCATGTCTGACATAGTTGATTGCACCAACCGACGTGCATGCATCAAGTAGTGAAGCAGGCTACGTAGTTTACGTTCTTCTACCCTTGTCCACGTGGATAAATGTAGAGCGTGTGGATCTGATGCATCGACGGGTTCGGGAATTTTGGACCCTGTTGCCGCTGTACTGATGGCATCTGATGAATCTGATGAGTCTGAATCCGTGTCAACACAAATCAGGTGCTCGTCGTTTCGGTGTAAGGGACTGGCCCACAGCGGAGGCAGCAAATCCAACAAAGTTGAATAGGAGTTGGGTTCAATGTGACAGCCTCCTGGGGCCAGACAACTGAACGTAGGGAAAAACGGATGATGTAACAAGGTGGGCTGTTGTAACACTTCATTCGTGCCACTACTGCCGGCTCCTGAGTCGGGCGTTTGCCAGCCGCCACTCATCTCCGGAACAGCGTTAGAGTGGTGGCCAGAAGATTTTGTAGAGTTACGGGCCGGACTGAAGGGCAGTAAAGTAATGCCTGCAGGTTTGCTTAGTAAAGATCCAGAGCCAGCACAGCTTCCCAAAGAGGTTTGTTCACAATGAGCTGCGGTGGTGAGCGCCGCACTGTGGCCTAGTCGACCAAGACTGACATACCAGGAGTTGGCGTACAGACTGGTGTTAGTAAGGCTATGGGTAGACGGAATATTGGGACACGGTGGGGAGTTGATGGTTGAGAATATGCCTGGACTCAGTGGTGCTTGCGGAGGACGAGAAAACGCGCGCGAAAGTGAAGGTAAACCGCCATTTGTGGAGGAGGTGATAGGGTAGATTCTCTCCGGATTTGTGTCTGTCAGATCGTAGCGGTCCAATAAGGAATGTGCAACTAGCTCAGCTTGATGTCTACAAAAATAAATAGTGACATGAAATGTGAAAAAGTCGGATGTTGAACATCGTTCAAACAACTGAAAGGAATCGAATTGGTGCTGTTAGCCTGGGCTAAATTAAGCTACCATCGCCCGCGTTCAAGATAAAATGATGCACTACGGTTACCTTATTTGGTTTTGTGGTGATGTAACGTTGGAAATATTGGCAGTGGGTGTTGCGTGAACACACCGTTATAAAAGAGCTAAGTCGAGTGAGTTTCTTCATAGGGAGCTATCAAGTCATTAGATGAGTCTTGGTGAAAAACGTTGAATGGTAAAATTATTAAAACAATCCCTGAATGCGCTTAGAGTGTGGACGTTGTTAGTTTGTTGTGGCATATTTGAGGTTGACATATTTGGGCATACAACTAAAGATCGATCGCTCTAATTCAAGGAAAATAAACGCAGTTTATTTGGAAAAGTAAGGACCGGTCGCCGATTGAGTCTAGGAGTTTACGAAAGTAAAAAGCCTCATGAGTGAATAAACGCTGGGTAGATGGATGAAGCGTAGACTTGACCGAAACTCAAGTGTGACATCTATAGATGTGTTGAGAGCAAGATTCAGGAAGAAAAGATCAACAAGTGGAAAAGGTGGTAAAGATGAAAAGCATCAAATTTTGAACTCCAGTCCATCGTCTTCAAATACAGCTGCCATATTGTTTGCGGTTTGTTCACTCTATTCAGGTTTGCTAGCTCCTGAATTATCGTGTTGATAGTACGAGCAGGTGTGGAAATGCCAAACAAGGGTCCGTCATCTGGATGAAAGTGAAAATCAAAAAGACGGGAAGGCGCGCAAAGCTATCCCATCCTCGCTCGGAATCACCAACAGTTCGCACTTTGAACTTTGAACTCGTACCTCTCAAATAAAATCTCAAAATAACTTTGAACTCGTACCCTCTCAAATAGTAGTTAAATCTCAAAATATTTGGCCATTAGCAGTTGATCAACACTGTGTAAACTTGCACTGATACTGGATACAGGGCCATTCCATTAGAAAGGTTAGGTGTTCAAACCGGGAGGTCACGCGCTTCTGACTCCCAGAAATTTCGTGAGATGCGTACCTCTGATGATTCCTAATAAGGGCAGTGTTTCTCGGCTTCCCAACATAAGTTAGCTTTGCTTACGGGACAGTATTTTAAAAATTCTCCAGTCTCCTCACACTACCAACAACCCGAAAGGTTGTGCTGGTAAATAATGAGATTCGTTCAGAGTGATTAGAAATTGAATATTTGTCAATTGCTTTTTACTCGACGTTGTAACACTCCGTACACTCATGAAATGCATGCAGTTTCAGGTGAATTCGATTTTAACGGAAGACGAAGGTAAATCTAGTAGAATCACTAGTTAATGGCATTCTTCCACAACTAAGTGTGCTGCACAAAGTCCACCTCAGGTTTCAATCAGTACGATATTCTTACAGTATATTTTCCTGACAGAACAATACACATAAGGTTGCTGAAAACCATCTGACAATCCATGACCTGTTTTGTCCCTATTGGGCTCATGAAGTAGGCGCACTGCCCAATTTTCCGTTAGCCTTATATATTATTCGAACTCAAGTTTGGGGCATTTGGTGAAATACACTCATTTGCACAGTACTTGGTTTGAACAGAAGATTCAACTAAATTCCAGCATCATCCCTCCTCAACTGAGTGTGCCACGCAAGGGCTGCCCCACTTGAGTCTCCTGTTTGCGAATTCCCAACGATTTGGGTATAAGTAGAACATAAGGTTGAGGGAGACTCGGAGACTGCCCTCTACCTGATGAGCCCCGAAAGGGTTAGACGGGTCTTGGACTGTCGAAGCATCTTCAACGTTCCGTCAGGAAAATTCCTTACGCTCATTAGTGGAAGATGCTTCTTACCGCTAGTGGATCCCCAGTCTCCGCAGAGTTTTGTATTCTGCATGCACCGTGAAACTCAACCACACAATAACTTAGTTGTTTGTGATTTATAAGCCTTGGGACTCGCCTGACCAGTAATGAGCACAAACAAAACAGTTGGTGGGCACGGCCAACTGATTAAATACGTTGCATTCAATATACATTAGCCGATCCTTGATAGGTAAACCCCATTTGAAAAACTACCTTTTTCTGTGTGACAAATGCTACGCCAACACTTTCTCAAAAACTCGTTGTACCTCGCTGTCGTCATAAAACCGGAGAATTGATGCCCCTTTACACTACCACAAGTCCTATTTCAAACAGACCTGAAAAATCCGCTATTATAGCTGCTAAGCGCGAGATATAATTTGCGAATAAGAAGCCGGGGCACACACGAGAAGAGACGAGGACCTGAGACCGAAGGTGATCCGCTGGACACGAAATTTTATATGTTGGGTGAATACATTGATATTTGGGCTCCCGCACGATTATGTTGGGAACCACGCTGTCGAACTTCGCATACGATTCGGCAGATACTTATCTGATGTAATAGCTGCTCATGACAGGGTTTTGTTTGGCTAAAAACAAAATTATAAGGGGCTAACAACTAGAGTGTCTGTTCTAACCCAGCTCTAAGTGTTCATCTCAGAAGGGGACGAGATGGCCAAAGTGGTTAGAGCGCGAATTTACTGATCGGAAGGTCCGTGGTTCAAACTCGACCTCTGCCTCTCGATTTTCCCTGTCCAGGCTTGGGAAACCTGGCAGTATCCCAGCCCTCTTGCAAACTTAGCCTGGCATGGCAGTTAGGCACACAAAAGATACTACAGCTGAACGATTTCTTTCTTTTTCTTTCATCCCAGAAGTTAGGTTTCGAGGGTGAACAGGAAGACAATTCGTTCGTTAAAACAAGTTATGAGACCGATTGAAAAAGCTACACTTCGTTTATTATGCACAAAATTTCACCGGCGTTCGCCGGAAATTGAGGAGAAAATTGCTGAACTGAGTAAGGTTGCGGTGTTGAAAAGCATTCGCACATCATAATTCCCGTGACCTTTAAATTTGCCAACCAAACAATTCAAATCAATTCATCAAAACCGTTTTCTCCTGTGTGATTTGTCGCTTACCTGTAAAGCTTAAGGTTTTTTAGTGTGAGGTGAACACCAGATAATCCAACGGATGAGATATCATTGCTCTCGGTGCCAAAGGAACCAGGAACGGCGTACACAGCATAAGGGTGATATGGAGAGGTGGATGAGAGTGAGGGAGTTGTAGTCGAAGGCATCTGGTTGATCGATTTACTGATTCCATTCGAACTACCACCAGAAGCTTTCATGTGGCGCCCCGGAAACGATGACGATGAGGTAGAAGAGGATAATGTGGAGCAGCCGCGGCCCGAGATGAGCATCTTACGATTCTGGCGGTACAGCACGATCGCCAGTTCAGTACAATATAACTGAAATAGGAAAAGAATAAGCAAGCCTATTGCCTTGCGAACAACGGCTGAAAAAATAAGGGCTTGTGGAAACAGAAGAAACGGTAAATAAACAGTAAAAGTCCACTACATAGTTGCACGCTAGTAGATAGTGATTTCGCAGCCTAAAAAGTTGACAGTAATGCACCTGTGACATTTAAGGGACGTTGAAACAAACGCCAGAGGTAAGAAATTCACCTCGTGTAAATAAGCACCATTTTTTCTGTTTCGTCTAACAGTAGTCTTTGTTTCAAGCATTGGTATGTCCCGTGCAGATTAAGTCGGGCATATCCAGGCTGAAGCTTTCCTACTTAGAATTCCTCTTGCACCCTAGTGCTAGGAATATATGGTCACAGATCTCAAGGATCTCAATGACGCAAAATGTCACGATGCAACCCATCCGACTGCTTACACAACAAAACGGAGCTTAAGTAATAAAAAACGCTATTCCCAAAAGAAATTTAACTAGAATTGGAAAAAATCCACGGGAAAACGGTCAGGGGACAGGACGGGGTGCCAACGCTGGTGTTAAGGTTAAGTATTACGCCTCAGCATTCCCCGTTTCACTATATCATTCACTCAGTTTTACCTTGGAGCAATAATGTATTGTTGATAAGCGGAGAATCGCTAGAATGACCACAGTACCCAAGGCTTGTATGTTTGGTGACCCACCGAAGTGACGTCCAATTTCGTGCATTTCTGTTTTGTTGCGAGTGCTACAGCGACTACTCACTGGGTAATTCTGGTGATGTGCATCATTGGGAGTACTCGATTCGGAGATCTAGCCATATGCGGTAGCCTGATTCATCACAAACTTCTGAAGAATCTAGATGTCGAGACAAAGTACTTCCGGGTCGGATTCGTGGACTTTAGCAGTGCCTTTCGAATCAGTCGATCGAAAACTGTTGCTGTGCAAATCTTTGGGAGTGGCATCGACAGACCCTTTCTATCTCTCCTACACAAATGCTTAACGACTCAAAGATGTACGCTGATATTAACGGGAGGTTGTTGAAGGTATGCGCTAATGAATTTCGCTTGTCCCAAGGAGCCGTCTCATCACCGTTCCCGTGTGCTTTCTATGCAGACTCTGCTAAACTGGGCAAACAGTTTACTCACTATGCGGACGACATAGCGGTTGGCAGAGTATGTTCTGTGTTACTGGAAGTCTACTAGGTTGGGCGGAGCACTGAAGTCGCATGTCCTTGGACGTCTTGGCCTTCTAATCTCCCACGGCTTGATATAGTATGAGCGAGACGATAAAATCTCCCTTTAAATACGAAGACTGAGTCATTCCACACAACGAGTCATTCCACGCAACCGTAAACATTGCCAAATCGGTTGTTCGGAAAATTACCCCTGCTACCGTCTTGCCGGTTGTTTCGTGTTGTTCACCAGTCATTTTCAGTGGACTGCCAAAAATGACTACATTATTACCAAGCGGTGCATCCTGCTTTTGTGAGCACCTTCCTTGAGGTATCTGGCATCTTAGCGTCTTAGGCATATGACTGCATACGATAAGTGATGAGATTCCTCATCATTACATTCAGATGTAAGATGTGATCAGATGCCCCCACAAACGCCCATCGCGTAGCACTGTTGTGCATCTGCACAGAAGAACAACAAGATATCAAGACTCTGGTTCCTTATCCCACCAACCTCAGAGCCCAACTTATACCTGTACGATTTGTTCTCCATTGTAAGTGGTTTTCATCCCTCCTGTTACTCCCCAAATTACCGGTCCCTTTTTTGAATTCTTGGTGTCCATACTGTTTAGATACACAAACCCAATGTATCCAGGGTACAACGGCTTGTATGAAAATTAATGAGCGGCGACAAATAAAAAGCCCGATACCCTATTTTGTATTGACCATTGGATAGAACTGCCTTCAAGGCGTCAGTACTATGCTCGTCCAATTATAGAGGATGAGCCACTTCACCGGAGATCACTGAAATTGATGCAACTAACGTTTCCCGTTGGCCTGGAGGAGATCTGTGATTTATCCCTTTAGTTAATAACTTTCATTGAGCCCTGGTAAATATGATACAATTGGTCTTATTACCTGTCTATAGGATCTGGTTTTCTGCATCTTCTTAGGGAGTTTAGGAGGCGATAAATGACCACCAATTGTGTCGAACCATGTTGAAATAGATGGTTATCCTACGAACACACAATATCAAAAAACTGCTGCCTCTTGCATGGTAAGTGTGTTGGTAACACTCAGAATATGAATCGAACCAATGGAGAAGTTTGTATGTACTACTGTCTTATGCTTGTTTTTATGATCTAATAGGCGCCATCCAAAAAAACAGATTGTCTAGAAATTTGACAAGCAAATTATAATGAAGAGCAATCAAATCATCTGACCCATAACCGAAGTCACCCAAGAGATTCCCCAGCAGTGCTGGTATAAACCTACTGTAGTTTGTGTATAGAATAGAGATTAAAAATCCCTGCTAATATTTCGTTCTGCAATTGGATTAAAACCGTGCTTTAGAAACTGAAATGGTTGCCTGTTGTGAAATATCGGCAATGCGCATCTCACAAACCTGTGGACAGAATGGAAACCACAACGTTCCGGTTGGTAGCTGAATGTCATTCAGCCACGAGTGTTAGATCTGAAGTGTGATTAAACTGATGGACAAATTGACCTGATCTGCAGCAAGGCTCGGGTGCATAAATGTGATGCAAGACAGCGTCCAGGGAAGCTCAACTGATCGGAAACGTATTGTGGAAGGACGATTACGGACACATCCTAGTGACGGTTTAGATTTCTTCTCTGAATAGGTTTGGTACCTGCTAACACAAAGTTTCTAGTCTCGACGAGGTCTAGAACACGAATATTTTGATATAGGACATGAGCGTGCTGCCATCAATTTCCCATTGGTCCACACATACAAGTGGCCGGAAGAACCCGAAGACCCTAACAACAAACCATGAAAGAGCGACCTGCTTCGATTCTGTGCTGAAAGCAAATCACTAGGTGTATGTTCCGGGATTCGGTGACCTGGAATTCAAGCCCCAGTTGTACTCTCAATAAAAAAATAACATTGTTCCACGAAGTATATGACTATTCGATGACTATTCACCTGTAGTCAGATTCCCAACGGATTTAGATACGTGAGCCAAGGCAAGCAAAAACGTTGAATTCGCGTACGTCACGCACATATGTGAGTTTGGAGACCCACTGTTTCCGGAAGTGAACTTTGAATCTGATCACAAGATGGCTGAATCCTGCTACCTGTGCCTGATGCGTTCCACTGACAAAATAGGTAGTAGACTTTTTTCCCAGGAATGGATACTGCTGCTCTGTATTTATTACTTGTAAAAGCTCAAAGCTTACGGGTAGGTCCTGAAAATCAGGACATCTGTGTGACCAGTCGGTGGTAAGCACATTCTAGCGAATTTGGGCACATGGGCTAAGTCAGGTTATCCAGTAGGGAGAATAAAATTACGACAGTAAAATATAGCATGCAAAATTATGCAGTGCCATACCTCGGTTCGGAGAACTATACTATCTAAGCTAAACTGTCGTTCTCCAAGAAAGGGCGAAGGGGTTCGAACTCAGATGTACTTGCATCAAGAGAGGCTCTTCCTTGAAGAGAGAAGCCTATTCATTCAGGCTGAAAAATATTTCGTGTGACACTATACATTCGAAACTACGTTTTTCGCTGCTCGGCTTCGGTAGTGGCAACGGGTGTCCACTCAAAACTTTTGATTTGGATACCAAAATGTTACTAATGCCACTGAAGTAAGACCACGACGAACTAGATCATTGGTAATGTGGTAAAACAGGCTTACGCTTGTTGGTTGTTGATCAGATGGCTGTTGATCTGTTCGCCGAGCTTGGCATTTGGCTTGCAAACGTTTCGTCACCATACGAGGAGATATCATCAGTGCAACCCAGTACAACCCACCCAACTGCGCACTGATGATATCTCCTCGTATGGTGACGAAACGTTTGCAAGCCAACTGCCAAGCTCGGCGAACAGATCAACAGCCATCTGATCAACAACCAATGAACTAGATCATTCTCTGAGGGGGGATGGCGAAGAGGAGAATGTCGTAAAAACCTAAGGCAACCGAGAAAAAGCGTATATGTACTGGCGTTCTGTCCTTTGTTTGTTTGATTTCTGCGTATTTCATCTTGCCAACACGAACCAAATTCAGGTACTGTCTGATTCGCTGAACAGAGCGTTTGTTCTACATGATGGTAATATTCAGTTTTATTTCTGGTAGAAGGGCTGGTTGACGTAGTTTTCATAATACTGGTCGGTGTTCGCTGATCAAAAATGCTCCAAAAACTTCGCTCAAGGTGCGCACCGCCCAAGAAGGGTGCAATTTCGGCCTGAGTGAGCTTTTTAGGGGAAGCTTTGCAACGTATGGATTGATCCAAGGGTCCATCATGGCCTGAGATGGACTAGGTGAGTGACGAAGGATGGTGTTCACCCAGGGAGATTACATAGAAATAATCAGTGGGTTTACAAATAAAGTTGCTGACTGATGAGTGAGGGTGCAGTAAAATGGATTAAGAAAACACAACCGACCTGATTCAAACAGTCGGCAACTTCCAGACAAGCATCAGCTAGATGGGCGCATCTCAGCGTTGCACTCCAATTGGCATCTATCTGATTCATCTGACACTGTATCCGGTCTGCTGTGGCCTTGACTTCAGCCAGATTGGCTTGTAATACTAGGCAATCTGACTGGAGGCATGACAGTGTGGCAAGCAGGCGCGACCAGGTCAGTTGAGCACAGTTCGCCACATCAGCCAAACGAGGGTAGGGCGTCAGTTTGGAAAGACTCGAGAGGAATTGTAGGAGAGCACGGGGTGATAGTGGGCCACGAAGAACGGAATCTTCTGCTTCAAGCCACAACTGGTCGAATGTTTCCGACTGTTCTGCTGCCGCTGTGGCTGGCGGCGTAAACTCTGAATTGGCAGATTGTTTTGCTCCAGTCACATCAGTCACACCGGAAAAATTTTCTCCAAAATGTCTCAAAGACTGTGTAACCCATTCTGGTTCAGGCAGATCGTATATGTTATCCACCGTTGCTACTTCCTTGAAGCAACCAGACTCATTTTCGACTGGGGGATCCTGGAATTGCAAGAAAACGATGATAATAATAATGACACGGAGTCTAACAAAAGGTCACTAGCCGGTGGTGTCCTTAAGCAGCAAGTCGTATGCTCGACGTGAATTGCACAGTAGGCTTCGCGATAGACAAGAAAAATCAAAGCAACTTAGGGAACTGACCTCAAAACGCGACTAGTCCTAATGTGAAACATTTGGAAACGGAGTGAACCAAACAGCTGTTCTAGACCAGATAACCTTTTCATCTAACAAGTGAACATATGCATTTGAACGACTTGCGAAATGCCAATAAATCTGTTCTTCTTGGTTTTTAAGAACGGGAATCGAATTTATCAGGTGAGCCTGAAGGCAACAAAAAGTAAACTCTGAGCGAGTGGATTACGGCAAACGGAGAGAACCATCTATTAGGGTTTTTTTCAAAGTTTCCATGGTATATTACTAGCCACACTCCTTAGGTTGGATCTTCCGGAATATCGGTTGTCAGTCTGCTCTAATGTATGTTCCAGACATGCGGCATTCGTGTTACTCCTTTTGTGCCGTTCGTCGATTTGGGACAGCTTTTGATCAAAATTCATAACTACCCCAAGAGACGCATCTAAGTGATGCGTACTTTCAGGGCGTGTAAAGAAAACTTCGAGCGAACTTTTGAACCAGACCAAGCTGAATGAGATAATGAACCTGAATCTTATACGGATGAGTAATCAAGATGAACTGACCCGACTTTCATTAGCTAGGCGTGTGACTACTATCAAGAGTCACTTCAATCACTCCGGAAAAATACTTATTCAAAACCTGTGACAGATCGAAAAAAAACTTTAGTGTATATGTCACCAACTATCGAATATTTGTGTAAACCGCTTGAACATCAGAAAGTCCGTGTATTCTCACTGTGAAGCTTCGATATCTCAGCCCTTTTTAAAGCTAATACAGTGAACCAGCTCTAAAGCGATTGCTGACGAAACCGGTTACTCTAGATGGGTGGATGCAGAAGTGAATCTTGTAATCCTGCGAGTACCTTAAAACTGGCGAACATTTCATTGATGGAAAAAACTCATAAGGTTTCTGAAAACCTTGCAACAGCCCATGACCGCTTTCACTCTTCTTGGGGCTCATCAGGTAGCCGCACTCCTCCAATCGAAGAATGTCCTGGACTAAAGATTCAGCTGGTATTCAGTTGAGTCTCCCGTCAAAGCCAGACAGGCGTGTCAATGGGTGGTGAATATCACTACCCCATTTATGCTTTTCCTGTGCTTGTAGTAGTTTATGACATCCAAACTTGGTTTTTCTAGATATCGTTACCTGAATTGTGAACACTTTCTCAGGATAGTAAAATCAAATTGGCGGGGTCGATTGACAGAAGTTGTTGAAGCCAAGTAGTTTTAGTGTGGCAATCCCGAGGTATTCGGTGAAACCGTATGGAGTAATGGATTTTATAAGCCAGTAGCCTTGTGAGACAAATACGAGTATCAGAAGGACCAATAAAAGGACGTCTGCCTAATGCCTAATACATGTAATTTTAACCCTAAGTCGCGGAAAATCTTCTTGTCCGAGTGTAACGACTTAAAGTTCACGAATTACAGTATGAAACATGAATGAAATTATGGATTATCCGAGAGAAAATCACATTACCGGTAGGTACTTGCAGAAACAAGGTTGAATTTGAGGAAGGAAATGTTCTGAGAAAGAGAAATTTCACTATAGCATAACCTGGAGTTACCAAGTCATAGTAGCTAACTAGGATAGCTTCTCTGTTCTGAAGAACCCACCAATCTCGGTTGTGATGCTCCTCAACCACAAGAACTTGAATAAGAACAATTAGCGGCGATGCATTACTTACGCGCAGAGTTTGTAAAAATCAGAACTACCGTCAGTTAAACAAATATCGTCATTCGCAGACGAATTTGGCACTGATAGAAGACTCAAATTAATCCGGCTGGACCTCTCGTTTATGATGGTCCGCTGCGCCAGGCCGCCAAATACACTCATTGAGATACTAATTGGAGGCTCATTTGAGACAGCTGAATCTCTAGTCTATGGTGTTCTTCAACTAAATGTGCTGCATAAAGGACACCTCATGTTTCCCTTGGTACGCTGTTCGAGATATCACAGTACATTTTTATAAAGGAAACTACTCACATGGTTGCCGCCTTCTGTGGAAACCAAACTGGTATGCAAATCAGTGCATTCGTCGAATTTCCTGTATGGTGGGTTCAAGTATAACATAATACTGACGGAAACTCGAGGCGCGCCTGCCTAATCAGCTCCGAGAGGGGCGAAATGGATTATAGGCTACAGAAGAGTTTTTAGCCACCTTAGGAGTAGTGTGTTGCTTATAGAAAACTACCGTCAGTTACTTTCTTGTTATCATTCCAGTCAGATATCAACCACATAAGTTGCGGACTGGATAACTAAGATTTGGTGAAGATGAAGTGATTTTTGATCCGGAAAATTACAACGCTAAAAATACAGGATTTCGAGAGTTCACATCTAGCCTGCACCTATCTGGCGTACATCACTCATGCAACTCAGAGGCAATTTGGAAGTACTCTACCACCCACACAGTGGTTTGTGTTGAGGGCTCAACTTCTACCTACAAGCAAATTGTAACCATCAATCAAATGCAAGTCACAGACGTCGTCTTACTGTTGTTTCCCCGAATGCATCACTTTCCCATAGCAATGACACTCATCCCCACTGAGGGTTCATAAAACAATCACTGAATACTTGACTTTGGCTGTGTACTCTTCAAAGGTGTTTTACACACAAAATACTGGAAAATGGAAACACCCAAAATGATGAGCGTGGGTGCTGTTAAGGGACAATGACTCAGAAAAAATGGTACACTCTCTAGTGGAAACACAGCTGTTTAATCACTCTTGAACGAGAAGGGCGTCATGAAGCGAAACGACTCGGGAGGAGTAATCACGTTGTTAATGAAGCATGTGGGTGATGAATATTTGATTGTGTCAGGTGGTACCAGAAGGATGGAAACAATGGTGTGAGACATATTTAAAATTCTGGTTAAACCAGCGGTTTCAGTTGACCTCTTCAGCCATTTGTATAGTACCTATTTGCATACAAGAACACCAGTATTAAGCTGAAAATCTCATCATATTCCCGCACAAAAAGTTGGGGTGTAGCGCGCATAGTAGCAGGAACATAACTCTTGAATAGAATCGTCAGCAATAATTCATTTCCTGTCAGGAAACGCTGCTTGAAACGGTGGAATAACGGACCGCGTCATTGAAGGCACGAACGTGTACGCGCTTGGGTACGGCGTGCCTAAACTGTATCGAACCACAGTACTGGCTGCACATAACGAAATGAAAAAATAAGGTGTATAGAATAAGAGTAATGACCATCAGTTGGTCAGACTCATTGGCTTACTTCTTACAAGTATCACGTATATCAGGACGACCTTATCGAAGAGGTCGAAGAGGGCCAGAGGCGACTGATAAAGACAGTGATGCGGATCAGAATCTCTTTTCAGCTGTCCAGACTGTTCAGTCAGTAACTTCAAAAAAAATTACGTTGGAAGTGACTGGGTGGAGCTTGAAAGCTGCGATTTTCCGAATCCGTTACTTGACGCTGTAGAGTTTGAATGACTGATGGAAGTTGGATTTTACAAAATGGAAAAGTATGCAACCTATGTTTGTGCCATCATTTATTTCCCCTCCCTCCAACTAAATCGTATTACAAAAGGCTGATTCCTTCCAGATCCGTTAGAGAAGAATCCGTGAAGCTATTCCGCTAGTCTAGGTAAGGTAGGGTTAGTCTGTGTTTTGTGTAAAGACTGAAAGTAGATGTGCACATCAGACCAGGCTTAAATCCTGGCACGAAAAACGCCCCATATTTGACGACGTATATATCAACCTCACAGGAGAGATCAGACCCGGGTGGGTAGTTCATTAACCGACACTGATAGCGCATCTTGGAAATAGTCCGCCTTCACCCATGGAAAGCACGTGCAACCTGACCCTACAGGTTCGAACGAGAATAAACTGGAAAAGCTGCTCCGATTCAGAGTGCAGTACTTTATTACCGTTAACACAGGGTTGAATGAGGGAAGCATTAGTATTGGCAATGGGATCAGTACTGCACTGGCGCGTTTTTTTGTCCCCTATTGAGATTAAACTAATTTGGATTTTCAGAAGTATGGATTTACAAATTTCAAATCCGGAGCTAAAACAAGGGTCCAATCAGGACTAGCAACTATAAAGCCAGACGTCTGAATAAGTTGCAAACATTATGGGAATCACGAACCCATATAATAAAATAACGTCAGCTGATTTATAAGTTTATCCTAGAGAAATTCGTGAGTTTGAGGAGGTTTGGATCGATCACCTTGTGTTAAGAAAAGTTACCCACCAAGTAAAATATCTCAAACGTGTTCCACCAAGCCAGTACTGCTAAACTTTTACACAAGCCAGTACTGCTAAACTTTTTTGGACCAGGTGCTGAATGCCATAATGCAACAAGTTGTTCTTAACAACTGACAGCCTAGCCTACAGATAAAAGAAGACTTTCAAAAGTGACAGCAGAGTGTTTAGAATTTCACAAACTGGCTCGACTGGCTATATTTGTTGATCGGGGCCGACTCATTGAGAACTATTGCCTCCGGTGTACGAAGGCATCATAATAAAGGGAGGGTTAAGCAGCTCCTGAACCGAAATGGCACCATTGCTGTTTTTGAAACGGAGAGATTTTACGGTAACACTAAAATATACGGCCTACCATGTGTGTTGCGGTGTACTTTGATCACTAAGGACAGTAAATCTCCCGATACGAACGAGCACCCGGTAGGTTATATGCTACTTGGACAAGCAGGAAAAAAGTAGCGCACAACTTTACACCCATGACCTACTGGCAACAGCACACCAAAACGGTCTGAGACAAAATGAAACGTGACATGCTCATTAGTGATCCAGTGCTTGTTGTCTATTAGATGGAAAGGTCAACCCATCTGAACTACCAGATTCATATTTACTGTCATATTAGACTGA